TGTCCGAAATGTCAGAGATTTGCGTTTAACCCCCCAAGACACTACCATTTACACCAGGAATCAGTACCGCTTGACGTGTTAAGATAGGTAAGTAATACACCGTCTAGACGAGCAGCCGGGCGTCCTTCCCTTCGTCCCCCCACCTTCCATAGCTGCAGCCCCACAATTGGCAGCAATCTCTGCGCGATAGTGGACGGATAAGGTGGCCCCCAACAGTGAGCATCTCCAGGCCTCCTCGCCCCCAACCGCCCCCCAGGCTCCCGCCTTCACTGCCCAGTGCCCACCGCCCATTGCCCAGCACCCTCACGCCGGGCAGTCACGCCGCCCGTGAGAGTCACTGTCCGTCAGCCGCCCAGCGACCGAAGCGAACAACTCAGCTGCTATATCCAGCCGCTTCAGCCCTCGTCCTTTTTTAAGAATAGCTGCCTCTGCCTTCGTCTCAAGGATCGATCAGCCTTCGTATCAATTGTCCGTTATCTCCAACTCCCCTAACCCCCTTAACTCCATCGCCTGCGAAAGGAAAAAAAAAAGGTCAAAATAGGGAAAGGACGCCATCGTCAGGAGCGCGCTCGCGCCAATCCTGCATCCACCTCCAAGTGGTACCACGACGACGACGACGACGACCTTGACGACAACGGAGCCTGGGATTTCCGGGTCCAGCCAAAGTACACCAAGTCCAAAAAGCCAAAAAAGTCAAAGAAGCCAAAGTCCAAGCGCAAGATGGGCCAGGAACAGTCCGTGATCAGCGATGATACGCCCCCGGAGACTCTCCGGGACCGGAGCCTCGCCGCCGTCGCCGAACACATCAAATCCGGCAAGGCCCGCCGCGTCGTCGTCATGACCGGTGCCGGCATCTCGACAGCCGCAGGAAGTCCGTCACCCCCAACCCTCTCTCCCCACGGGCACCACCGCTAACCTTTGCAGTCCCCGACTTCCGCTCTCCGGAGACGGGCCTTTATGCCAACCTCGCCAAGCTCAAGCTCCCTCATCCCGAGGCCGTGTTTGACCTCGACTTCTTCCGTCAGAACCCGGAACCCTTTTACGTGCTGGCCAAGGACCTCTATCCCGGCCACTTCCACCCGACCGTCTCCCATGTCTTCATCCACCTGCTCTCCAAAAAGGGGCTCCTCCTGCAGCTCTTCACCCAAAACATCGACTGCCTGGAGCGCGCCGCCGGCATCCCCGACGACCTCATCGTCGAGGCCCACGGCTCCTTCGCCCACCAGCGCTGCATCGAGTGCAAGACGCCCTACCCGGAGGACCTGATGCGCGAGCACGTCCGCGTCGCCAAGGTCCCGCGCTGCCTCGACGAGGCCTGCCGCGGCCTCGTCAAGCCCGACATTGTCTTTTTCCACGAGGCCATGCCCTCGCTGTTCTACGACCGTCGCGAGCTCGTCGACCAGGCCGACCTCGTCCTCATCCTCGGCACGAGCCTGCAGGTGCACCCGTTCGCGAGCCTGCCGAGCCTCGTGCGCGACAGCGTGCCGCGCGTGCTGTTCAACATGGAGCGCGTCGGCGGTCTGGGGTCCCAGGCCGACGACGTGCTCGAGCTCGGCGACTGCGACACGGGCGTGCGCAAGCTGGCCGACGCGCTGGGCTGGCGCGACGAGCTCGAGGCCGAGTGGCGCGCCCTGGTGGGCGAGGCCGAGGCCACGCGCCAACTGAGCGGTATGGGACAACGTACCGAGCAGCTGCGCGACGAGGTGGACCGGCTTGCCGAAGCCGTCGACGAGGCGCTGCACTTGGGACGAGAAGAGGATGCTAACGCGGTGGACAGTTATGAAAGAGCTCAAGCAAAAGAGAAAGGCGGCCCGGAAGAAGAAGTTGAAGGCAAAGAAGGAGGCAAAGAAGCGACGGATGGCCCTTCTGCAGAGATGCGCGGGGATGACGCTGTCCGAGGCCCGGGAGAATCTGGAAAGGATCAGGGAGGCCAAAAAGAGACGAAAGGCACAAAGGAACCTCCTGCTGGGCTTGAAGTCGAAACTCCCTCTGGCGATCCGGCCGGCACAGCTCCCAAAAGCGACACCCCAGTAGTGGGACATTCGGCGAATCCTACAGGCGAGAAGACGAAATAAGGAACACGGCGGGGGTATTGGCCTGTCTGCCTCAAGGCTGGGGCATCCAGGCGTATTGTTTACTTGAAGGGGATATGTATTCCGGACAACGTCCTTGGGAATGGGCGATTTGCATTAGCCAGGTTGTTTCGCCATTTGGGTTCTCGGTATAGGCGGTTAGTTCCAGGGGTCTAACGGTTGCTATGTCTTTGTTGGAGTCGGGCAGCGGAGGGAGGTCTTTGTTCATCATGTCGATTCTTTGTAGCTGGAAGAAATACAATGCCTTGGCATCGGGCGTGTTGGAGAGCAGCTAGGGTCGTTATACCAATACAATGACTATTGTCGGGACACAAGCGCAGGGGTCTGTTGACTCTCGGGGTGAGTTCGCGGACGATATCAACACCAAGATGTACCTTGAACTAATGATCGTCCTTCTCTCCCTCATCCTATCGATCCGAACCGAGTCTTCTCGACGGATCTCAGGAACTCTCACCGCGCAACCACCCAAGATCTGTGATCTTTGTGACCATTGCCCCCTTATTCCCAACAGCCAGTCTGTCATCCCGGAATCCCTCCATCGCCGCCATGGACAACTCAACCAACCCCCCCAAGGTCCTCTTTGCGAACCAAGCTCCTGCTATCAGGACTGACACCGTCCGCTTCGAGCCGTCCATGGGCGGCGAGTCGCCCGATGGCGCGTTCGACGTGGTCGAGGGCGCTGTCCCTGCCACTACTAACAAAGACGATGCCGCAGCCCGCTTCAGGGCCCGCATCGGAAACCGAGTCCAGGCTATTCCTGAACTCCGGACTGACGCGCTCCGCTTCGTCCCATCTGCGGGCGACTCGGTGCCGGATGGTGTATTCACCATGACCAAGGACGCTGTCCCTGACTCTTCCACGCCTGCCCCGTCGAGCTCCCAGCTCGGCGATGGTATGGCTGCCAGTGACCTCGGCACCAGCCGTACGTTCACCCTGGACGATATCATGGGCTCCTCTCTGGCTACGCCGGGGTTCTTCGGTGGTATCGGTAAGGATTTGAGTGCTGGTTGCTTGCTCACCGCAGATGACGAGTCGGACAACGAGCCCATTTCGGGCTCCCCGCCCGCCCCGATGGTCGCCGGCAACAACCGCGTGTCAACCCCCCCTCCTAACATCCGCCGGAGCATCCGCTTCATCGACATCCCACCCGTCCGCTCGCCCCGCGACCGGACCCGGGAGTCGCTTTCCCGCTCCCGGATAACCCACCCGGTTCCTATCCTTCGCGCTACCAGCGCGTCCCCCGAACTCTTCCCCATCTCCTTCTCCCCCCCGGGCTGCTCCAGCTCGGCCCCTAGCACCCCTCCCCGCAGGGGGCAGTCGGACATCTCCAGCTCGCCCCCTGGCCTCACCCCTCACAAACCCGCCAGCTCCGTCTCATCGACGGAGTACTCCCCGTACCGCCCCCCCCCTGGCGACGACGGCGGCGGCCCCTTTTCCCAAGGCTCGCCCCTCGCCGGTGGTGCCAAGCCCCTCGCTCTGCACCCCATCCACCGGATCAACCAGTTCGGCATCGCACTGTCCCCCTTCCCCAAGGCGGCCACCATCCTCCAGCCCCTGCTTGCCTTCAGCCCGCCGCGCGCCGGCTCCGACTCCCCCACCCTCGGCGGCTTCTCCCACCACTCCGCCCCGTCCCGCTCGTTCACCGACCCCGGCATCTCCATCCTCTACGGCCACGACGACCCCTGGGCGGCGGCGACCACCGCCGCCGCGCCGCGCACCTTCAACGACCCCGGCGTCTCCATCCTCTACGGCCACGACGACCCCTGGGCGACCACCGCCTCCTCCTCCTCCGCCCCGGCCGCCACCCCCGCCATCTTCCACCTCTTCTTCCCCGGCCTCCACCCCGCCGCGGCCTCCTCGCGCTTCACCCCCTCCTTTTACGCCCACGCACCCCACCCGCGCTTCACCCCCGCCCCGCACGCCTTCCAGCCCCCTCCCAACGCCTTCAACTTCACCACCAGCCACCCGCCCCCCCCGCTCCCCGCGGGCCCCTTCGCCTTCCCCCGGCGCCCCATCCCGCCCGCCGGCACCCAGCCCGGCGGGATCACCCTCGCCGTGCGTGCGGCGTCGCTCGCCTCCTCCTCGGAGCTCTCCGGCTCCGGGCCGCCGCCGCCCCCTCGGGCGCGGCCGCTCGTGGGACCGGCCCGGGCTGCTGGGGATGCCGTGGATGACCGGGACTGGGAGTGCTGCAACTGCGCTGCGATTAACTCGCGGTGGGAGTTTGTGTGCTCGCGGTGCCAAGCGCATACGCGGCGGGACGGGGCGGCGCGGTGCTGTCTGATGCGGGGGGAGGAGGGGTGGGTGGGGGATGGGGTGGGGGATTTCGCGGATGAGAGGGGGGATGAGGAGGTGGTGGTGGCGAGGGTGCACCAGGGGAATGTCGAGGGGGAGTGGATTGGGAGGGGGGGGAGGAGGTAAGTGGTGGTGGGTGGTGATGGCTGGATCGATTGGATACGGCCACGGTGAGGGAAACGGTAAGTTAAATTGTGAGTTGGAGGTGACGGGTCACCACCGGTATAGAGGTAAGATTTGCGATGACGACAAGAGTTTGAATACACGGTAAGTTAACCCCCGAAGAAATGTCCCCAAATGTCCCCAGTGTGCGTGCCTATGATGACAATGAAATAATCCCATGAAGAAAGCATGACGTACTTGATCCTTAATTTCCCTGGAATACCATTTGAACAATGTTAAATCTCATCTCAACTCCCCCAGAAAAGAAAAACACCAAAGCAAGCTCACATGGCAAACGCGAACACCGACACCCCTCCTTCTCACAGCAGAATCAGCCCACCAACAACAACCAAAAGGTATCCCACCACTGTCAGCATGCAGGAGCACGCCACACCAGCTCAAGCACAAGCAAACGGTCAAGGGGCAAAAAAAAAGAACCAACGGAACAAGTGACTCCGACGCCGAGGTTCGAACTCGGGTCCTCAGAAGATCTCCAAGAAGTGAAAATCTGAAATGCTAAACCTCTACACTACGCCGGACTTGCGTCTTTTCGATGATGGGGTTGCCGGCAAACTGCTTCTTAACGTATGGTGTGCATCGTGCGTTGGCCGTCGCAGTTGCTGTGCCTTGCCGTGTGGCTCCACTCTGGAAAAAGGGGCAACCGCGAATGTCAACACACACACACACACGGGCAAGCGGGCAAGCACCCACCCCACCAGGAAGAACCAACCAAGCATGAATCGCATAAAAAGATGACCGTTAGGCCTCCCGATACTGGTAATGTACTCTGTAGTAGTGGTAGGCATGCTAAAACCACCAACCCCCCTACCATCATCACCCCCTCCGCCAGAATCCCACCCCACGCCCCCCGACCAAACAAACCTCTGCCGACGTCCGACGCCTGTACAATTTCACAAAGTTGCGCAACAGTCCCACGTAAAAAGACAAGAATTGTTTCCCGAAAGCCAGCGGCCGAACAATCTGCTGTGCTCCCTGTTTGCTTCTCTTCTCCTTGGCTGCGCAAAAGAATGCATTATACCATTGACAATCATCAATTCCGTGTCCGTCCGTCCCGTCATCCCATCGACCCCCTGCCACGGTACCTAGGTAGTACGCGGTCATGTTGAGCCTCCCTCCCCCTTCCCATTGCGAGTCACAACCTGGCGCCAGGGCAGGGCCCTTCCAAAGACTCCGCCCGAACCTCATCTTTGGATCCCCAAAACACTAGCCGGTGTCATTGCCCAACGCTCCCAAACCCGCTCGTCACTCACAGCCAACAAACTCCCGCACCTCAGAACCAACTCGCCCGCAGAAACGAAATATACTAAAACGCCCCCGCGACGGGAATCAACAGCTAACTTGCGCCTGAACCCCAGCCATGCCGGTCAACTCAAAAACTCCAGGAAAGACTAAAAACACCACCAGTCAAGCCCATGGTACATCTGGCCAGCGAGAGGTAGGTATCGAAATGAAACTCATCTCGCTCCAACGAAGAGTATGTATAATGGGACAAAGGAAATGGGTATGAGCCGTCCGTGTTATGGCGGCATGTAGGTTGCTCTTGCTCTTGCTCTTGCTCCTTTTGCAATAAAAGTCGTCGTTCCCGCCCAGGAGGACGTATTTTGGGATGCCATCTCTAGCGATCGAGCCTCGACTGTGGTTGCCAGCCGTTGAGATAGGCCATGAGGCCCATGCCTAAGATGACGACACCAATCATGGACGCGTACGGCAGCGTCTTTATAATCGCCGGGTCTTGGGGCGCCGTGGCCAGCGCTCTCGACGCTGGCTTGATCGTGTTTGCCCGTGAGAGCGTCGGGGGCTCGATGGACCCATCCTGCTGCGTCGCTGGCTCGACAGCACTGCCATTGGTATGCGCACCAGTCTCTTCAACTCCCTCCTCTCCGCTGGGGGTCCTGATCCCTCGCTTCGACCTCGATCTCGACTTTCGCTCGGCCGCAAGCTTGTCGTTCTCGTCACGCTGGCGAATCTGCTGGACCATCTCGGCCAGCGTCTTGCGATCGGCATCCCGCTCAAGTTCTGCCTTTTCTGCGCGCTGCCGGAACGCCTCGAGTTGCTCCCTCAGGCTCATCATTTCCGTATTCATCGAGTCAATACGTGCTTGCCATGCGACCGCCATGGCCTCCATCTTGTCCGTCTGGGGCGGCGAGGTCGACTGCGGACTGCTCGAGGGTATGCTCGGCTCGGGGGTCAAGGGACGCTCCACGGGTGGGTCAAAGGCCCTGTCAAGCTCCGAATGATGACCGTTAGCCAAGGGAATCACCATTGTGCCGTTGGTCTGCGCGTGACTTGTCTCCTCCATCTTCAGCATCAACTCCTCGGCGAGAACACGGGCTTCGCGCTCCTTATTGAGAAGCTCCTCCAGCTCTCGCACCCTCATGCTGTGGTTGTCCAGTTCTCTCCTTGTTGTATTCAGCGCTTCGGTCAGCTGCATGATCTGGTGGAGGCTGTTGTCCGGTCGAACAGGAGATGTGTTGGCCGCTTGGGCCTTGGGTCGCTCGGTGGTGCCGCGTTTGAGGGGGGGGATATCGGAAGCGCCGGTTCGCGCAGCATCTGGTTTTTCCGGAAGGGGCTGCGACGGCGGCGGGGCCGGTGGCTCCAAGAATCGCGTCTTGTTCCCGTCGGACCGGAACGACATGTTCCCGTTGGTCAGTGCCTTGGGAGGTTCGGGCGCTTCGGGCTTGTCCATGTTCTTGATGTCATCCTTGGACAGGAGGGCGCTGATGAACTGACTTGTGCGGGTGAGATCTTGGTTCTGCAGGCGGGCGGCTCGCATCTCGGTCTAAAGACGGTTAGTTAGTGGCAGGCCATCAACCCGGCCAGACAAGACTTACGTGAAGCTTCTTGACAATGTGCTCTGTGGTTATCGGATTCATCCAGAATTGTCTCTGCCCGCCCACGCCGTTGCCTTGGACCATCCCATTCGTGGTTGGCATGCGGCCATTCTGCCCCATAGACGCCTGCGAGCCCGTCCGGCCTCGCGGGGGAGCACCGGGGGCGGGCATCAGCAGCGCGCCGTTGGACGGATCAAGTTCCCCGAAATTCATCTCCATCAGGTTGTTAGAGGGATTCGCATACCCGGCATGTTCGACCTTGGCGGCGACTTTGTGGTGGACGACAGTCTTTTGGTCTTCGCTAACAATGTCGATGCCAAGTTCGAGGTGGTCTTGGGGTTGAAGTTCGTGCGGCTCCGACTCTCGGTTTTCGGGGGACAGTCGTGTCCCATTCACAAATGTGCCGTTGGATGACTTGACATCCCTGATCCAGATCTTGCCGTTCGCATCGGCCCAAACCTCGGCATGCTGCCTCGAGAGCACTTTACTGTCGAAGAATCCGTTGACTGGTGTTGGCACGGTCTTTGCATTGGTTTGTCGGCCAATTCGGAGGGTATCTGGGTAGAAGGGCACGGATATTGTCTTGCGATCGAAACTTCCGTTGAGAGAGAGAAGCGAGAGGACGGGCTGGCGACCGGGAGCCATGCCCTCCTGGGTTGGCCTCGACATGCCATTCTGGGCCATCATCTGGTTCTGCTGGGCGAGGCTGGCCTGAGACTGTTGCTGGTGCAATGCCGACCCGCCATTCGCGCCGTTGGATACGGGGGGGCGGTTCGGTGTAGGGCGGTTGAACTCGGTCGCGCCTTCTGCCTTTCCATTTGGCCATCGCTTGGTCTGGGGCGGCCTCTTCTGTGTCCCGTTGGAGTAGCCACTCAAGTCCCCGTTGGCGAGCATGGCGCTCCCGTTGGTCTGAGCATTGGAAATGACCGTCGAGGTCGACGAGTTGGATGACGTCGACGACACCGACGATGAGGAATTGGTTCGCTGGATGGTCTTGCGGTTGAACATGTTGTTCCCTCGGGGGTCGTCGGCACTCATCGAATTCAGGGTCTGGCCGCCGTTAATCCATCCCGGTCGGTTGAGATTCGAAAAGTTGGGCGGGTTCGCGACAGCCGTCATCGGAGAGAGTGTCGGAGACGCGGGGAGGGAGAGGGTGAGAGCGTCGCGGCCCAAGAAGAGGATCCCAGCAGTGGCAGGGACCGATGTCGTTGGTGACGGCAGGCAGGCTCCCCGCTCTGCTCACGCGCAGCCTCTCGGCGAGCAGGAGTGGTTTTAAGGTCGCAGATGGGCGCCTTCTATCGCCGGGGCGCTGGTCGCGGGGGGAGGAAGTGTCGCGATCAACTAGAGACAGGAGGACAGTTAGCTCTGACGTCGAGGCACGTCGCACGCCGGTCGGGGTTCGGCGCGGACAGTCGACAGCGCAGCGACGACGACAGTGAGGGAATTCCCCGGTCGCGCAGGACACATACCTGACAATAGCGGCGATTAATTTCGGCGTCGCAGGTGATCGGGGGCTTTGGCAATGCGACGGCAACACAAGGAGTGAGGTTGACGACGAGAATTTGATGTGCAGTGAGGCGAAGGAACAAGGTCGCTCTCCTGGGCCTCGAGCGCTTAGCGAGGGACGGCCGGGGGGCAGCGGGCTTGGGGGGGCCAGAGGGTGATCAGCGCGCACGCGCCAGCCCAGCAGAACCAGGACTTGTTGCAGCGTCCGCGCTTGCGATTTGCGGGCCAGATCCCGCGCTGTGGCGAGTCAAATCCAGCCAAAAACAACAACTGCACATTGATTTGGGAAAGAGGCCAGTTGCTGTTGACGGTGAATGAAAGCGCTCAGCAGGCTCCCTATCAGATATTTTTGTGTCCTGATCCACTGCTGGCCATGTCCAGGTCCACCAGCTGCACGCTGGCGACCGCTGTGGTCACGTGACCGTAGCTGAAGGACCACAGTGGCCCGCGTCACATCACTGCAAATCTGCAGCAGGCAGCCCGGGCAGGGAGACGGGAGGACAAGTTACAAGTGGTAAATGTGGAACTGGTCCAAGCGCCTCAACCCCTCTGTCTCGAGTTGATGGGAGTTGAAGAGCGACAGGAAATTCAACAACACGTGATTGTGGCATGCTCTGGATGACCTCCTCCTTCACAGAACCACGGTTTGAATGCTCAAATAAAATATCCACAGGCTGTAGCAAACTACTGGCTCTATCCAAGAATAAGCACAAAATTAATACCTGAAGCTGTGGCTGACAATGTGTTGAAGAGTGGCTTGTCAGGAAACAGTTTCTTGTCTGGACTTGGCTCGCTCGGCGCGCTTTGCTTCGGCAACGTTGAGGAGGATGGTCCGTGCACGGTCCCTATCTTGAGGCTGCCCGCGGCAACAGACAGCTGCAACCATGGTGCCGTCACTGTCGCATTTTCTCTCGCGCCCAGGTCGAGATTCGACGGTCGTCAGCGCAACACCAGCACCCCAACTGTCTGTATCCCGCCGACTTCAAACCACCAGTCGCCCAAGATGCCACCCATGCCGAACCAAGGCCAAGTAGGCCCCTCCACTGCCGACAAGCGTATGTTGCGACAGCCCAGGCCGGACCATCCTCCACCCTCGTGCGCCGCCAGCTAACGCTCGAGTAGTCAAGATGGGCGCCATGATGGGAGGAAGTATGTTTCCTCTTGCCGCGCTGGTCTGGTCA